GTACGTGGCGGAGCCCGTGGGGCACTCAGCCTCCGGGTTCAGCGGGGCCTGTTCGCCCGCGTCCCCCTGGCCGCCCTTCATCCTGGGGGGCCGCAGCACCAGGGGGCCTGGTCAGTCAGGGCGGGGTCGAGTAGCCTCGGGGCGTCCAGGAGGGTCGGTCCACGCCGGGAGGAGACCCCATCCCCCTGCGGGGCGAGCCGAGATGTGGGCGGCAGGTGCCCAGGAAGAGGCAGTCGGGACTGAGCAGAAGGAGTAGGCGTCTGCCGGGAGCCCCAGGGGCCGAAGCGGGACAGCAGAGGCCGAAACAGGAACTGGGGCAGAGGCGGAGCCGGGGCGGCCACATGATGGGGTGGAGCCCGGGGGCGTCCGCGGAGATCTCCAGGGACCCCTGTGACACGAGTCCGGCTAGAATGTCATGCAGGCGCCCGAGCTCCACTGAGGTTACCAGCCCCGCCTGCGCCTGGGAGTTCCCGGACCCTGGACCACGCCAAGTACATCGGGACGTACCAGAGCTCCAGTCCACCTAAACTGTAAACTCGGGAAAGGTGAGCCCATCTGCTGGAGGGGGCCTTGTGAACTCAGTTCCGGGAGCCAGGGAGGTCCAAGGCTCCCAGGTGCACCCCAACAGCCCTGCCTCCGAGAGCCCCCAAGGGTAAGCACTCAGGTCCTCCCTGCCCTCCCCCCCTCTCCCGACGCCGCAGACACAGGAACTCACACCCCAGCTGGAAGATTTTGAGTTTTATAGCAAACCATATAGTACAGACCCGGGGCCCAGCCCCGGCTGGGTCCCCCACGTGCCCCCCGCCGGGCTGCCTCTTTCCCCTCCCCCAAGCGGCCCCAACCTCAAGCCTGCGCGACCCCCAGGACCCCCTCCCGTCGACCTCTGATCCGCCCAGTCCCTCCCCCCACCCGCGCACCTCCCTGTTACCTGAGGTATGTGGATAAATTCCCCCCTCCCCTACATGGTACAACCCAGCTACCCCGAGGCCTGGGCTGAGGGGCGGGCCCTGGCTCCCCTAACCCCGCCCCCACACTGGAGGAAGGGGCAGGGGTGGGCCAAGACTGTTACTAAGTTCCCACGGCAACCAAGAGGGGCCATTACCAGCCTTAGCCCTGGCTTTGGGACGTGTCCATTGGCTGCTATTTCCATGGCAACCAGGAGTGGCAGTTCCCTGGGCAAATGGGATACAAGTTTCCATGACGATGAGTGGGAAGAGCCAAACTGAAGGAGTCTCATCTTCCCCATCGCTGGGATGGCACCCCACTCCACTGCAGGTCAGGAGGGGTGAACTGCTCAATACAGTAAAGCAAGAAAGAGCCTGGTGGTGGCGCAGCGCCCACCGGTCCAGTCTCAGTCCAAGCGGTCCGGCCCTCACACTCCAGCTCCCCCGAGTCCGAGATTCCCCAGGTTCAAGTAACACTTCAGTACAGGTGAATGTTCAAGTATTGAACGGGGAGGCAGGTAGGGGGCTGGGGTACCCCTCACCACTCCCCTGGGCCACGCTGAACAGCAGATAGGCCAGCTGGCCCCCACTCCTCGCAATAGCTGCCATTGTCAGTGACTTTCAAGGAGTCAGGGTTGGGGGAAGGAACTGAAACTGGGGAGTAAGAGGAGGAGTAACCCCCCGAGGGAGTGCTACTGCCCCCCACCTGCTCTCGCCCCTCACCCCTTCCTTAGCCCTGGCTTTCCCTGGTTCCCCGAGTATCCCCACCTCTGACACCTGGACTCCCAGTTGCTCCTCTGCTTTCCCTTTTTGCCCCGCCACCCCCCAACTCCAAGGATCTGGTCTGTTCCCTGCACCCTTGGTGGTCTGCTTTCTGCCCCCCTCCCCCAGCCCATCCTCCACCTCCCCCAGCCCCTGGCTCCCAGTATCCTGTATGCAGATGTGTTTCCCCCATTCTCCCTCCCTCAGACTTGCACCTGACCCCCCGCCCACCATCCCTTTGGCTCAGCAACCCCAGTACCTCTGACCCACTCCCCCCAGGGGATGGACAATGAAGCAGGTGGAAGGGGGAGGGGATGGGAAAGAGACCCCCAGAAATATCAGTGCAGGGGGCAGAGTGGGGAGGCTGGCTCAAGTCCCTGGGCAGGAATCCCAAGTCGGAAAACTCGGGAATCCCAAGTCATGAGGTGGGTAACCTGGCCTCCTGGCAGGATGAAATGAAGGCCGGAGGTCCAGGCTCCTGAAGAGTTGGGGGCAGGGGGAGGCACCCAACTAGCTGTCCTTGAGAAGCAACTTCTCCTCTGGGCAGCGGAAGGGGCCAGGGGGCCCGGCAGCTGCCAGGCGGGCACAAGCTTCAGGTGAGAGCTGGCGGCAGGAGCGCAGGTCTAGGCGGCGTAGGCGAGGGCAGCGGCGGAACAGCGGAAGGCAATGGTCAGTGAGGCGGTGGCAACCTGGGGATAGGGTAATGGTAGCCAACACCAGGAGAGTGAGTAGGGTGTGGGCACTGGTCCGAGGAATCAACAGGCTAGCAGGATGGACAGACAGGGGACCATGCTTACCAGCAAGATTGAGGTGTACCAGGGTCTCTCGAAGTGGGGAGGTGGGGGCCGTGAGGAGATGAACACTGGGGTCCCCGACATGGGCGCAGTGGCTGAGGTCCAGGGCGCTCAGCTGGGGCGCGTGGCGCAGCAGGAGTCGCAGGGAGGCATCTGTCAGCTCTAGGCCTGCCAAGCGCAGCTCTGCTACCCCCTGCAGCCGCCCACGGCTCTCCGTTTGCCCTGGGCAGGCAGATCAAAGGTCAGCACACCCCTCTGCTTCCATTCCTGCACCTAGGCCCCCAGACCACCTAGGCCCCCAGACCAGCTATGTTTACATACCCATATTCCTCACCACCCCCTAAATCTGCGGCCACTATGTGAGCCTCGCCTGGTGCTCTCTGCGTGGCTTACTCTTGTCCTCATCTCATCTGTTCATTGCTCACACTGCCTCCTCAGTGAGGCCTGCCATGATTACTCCACTTGAAACTGTAATATTCCACAATATTATTTTTCCCTGCTTTCCCACCATCTGGCATATATTTTTCCCCCTCTCCTTCCACTAGTGTCGGTTCCATGAAGGCAAGAATTTTTGTCTTGTTCTTGCTTTCACCCCAACAATTGGGACATAGGTGCTCAAATACAGTCACCCATCTAACAAATGACATCCCTACCAGGACCGCCATTGTAGGCTGCTCTCCCACTTTCCTCTCCTTCCATGATTAGCAAAGTCACCAACTGGATCCCTTTCTCTCCATTCCCCCTGTCACCACTCTGAGTCAACACCACTCTTGCCTCACCTCCTGCCCCAGCCTCCTCACTCACTCTAGTCTCGCCTCTTCTTTCCGGAATCCAAAGAGAGCCATTCTCAAATACAGGTGGGCCAACATCCCTTCTGTGCTAAAAACTCACTCTGAGAGCACCTCAAAGAAGTTCAGTCTCCTTGGTGGAACACTGCAGCTCCTACAAGGTCTTATCACTTTCTCAGCTCTTCACTCCTCTCCCTCACCCCCAAACACTTGGACCCAATTCCACAGTGAGCCTGCCCTGAGACTCTCCTGTGGCCCCCTGTGCTCAGTCCTCTGCTGGCCAGTGTCACTGGCTTTCAGGTCTGAACTCAGCCTTTCCCTTTATCTCCGGGGTACACGAGCTTGCACTGCTCAACTCTGCACCCAAAGTGCATGGTCTGCTTCCCTTTTATTGAATTTACCATATTCCTGGCATTACAGTTTCTGTGTTTTTTAAAAAACTAAACGCCTATGGTGCACCAGCAGCCACTAATTGAGCACTCACTGCGCCAGACACAGGCTAAATGGCTGCCTGCCTGCCCCTAGGCCAGTGGCTCTCAAATGATGTCCCTTGGAAGGCTAGTTAAAATGGATTGATGGCCCTACCCCAGAGTGTAGGTGCTCTAAGCTGGGGCCTCAGAGTTTATTTTTCTAGCAAGTGATGCTGAAGCTGCTGGCTTGGAGACCATGCTTTAAGCAGCACAGCCGTGGGAGATGAGCTTTCTGATAATCATTCCTGTTTACTGATGAGGAAATGGAGGCTCAAACCATTAAGCAATCTGTCCAAAGTCACATGACTATGAAGTAACAAAGCTAGGACAGCAGGCCTGGTGGCTCCAAGTCCAAACACCTACCACCATGCTATATACCTCCCGGGCACCAGCCTAGCCCTTAGATAAACTAGATCAGATACCACAAACTCATGAACCTAGCCTATGCGAGTGTTTTATGGAATCTGCATATGCTAAAAATTTTCTAAGCGACTAAGCCTACCAAAAGGACATTTAAAAAATACATATTTTTTTCTTGTTGATTTGAGAGGAAGTGAGAGGGGGAGGTAGAAACATCAATGAGAATCACTGGGCTGCATGCCCCTCCCTACCCCCAACCACTGGGGATTGAGCCCGCAACCCGGGCATGTGCCAACTGGGAATCAAACCATGACCTCCTGGTTTACAGGTCAATGCTCAACCACTAAGCCACATGGGCCAGGCCTACAGGACATTTATAATTATTTTTAATTTTTTTTTGTTTTTTTATCGATTTCAGAGAGGGAGAGGGAGAGAAACATCAATGGCTGCCTCCTGCACACCCCCTACTGGAGATCAAGCCCACAACCTGGGCATGTGCCCTTACCAGAATTGAACCCAGGACCCTTCAGTCCACAGGCCGATGCTCTATCCACTGAGCCAAACTAGCCAGGGCAAAGGACATTTTTATAAAGAAACTAGAGGCCTGGTGCACGAATTTGTGCACAGGTGGGGTCCAGCTGGCCCCCCCAATGGTGTCCCAATCGGGCCAGGCTGGCAGGGAGGGGGGATATGGAGGGTGGGGAGGAGGACACGTAAGGTGGGCAGGCCTGCCCCGCCCCTGATGGGAGTAAGGGGGCAATCGGGGGCGGGGCTGGCTGGGGCCGAGGAAGGTTGGCTGGTTGGCTGGCTGGCCACCCTGTCCCTGATGGGGTGGGTGCAGGGCTGGGGGTGGGCGGGGCCAGTGGGGGGGCCTTCCCCCCTTCCCCCCATTGGACTGGTTGGCTGGCTGCAGGGCCAGTATTTCTGGTCACTTGGCTTTAATATATATAGATTTAGATATTGAGCTTTTCCTTGAAAATTGTAAGATCTGGCATCAATGGGCTACCCTTTCACCTGACAGTTGGCTGGGAATGGGTTGCTAGAGGCTACTTCCTAATGTCCTGCACCAATCTCATCACTTGCTGCCTCTGTGAGTACCTGACTTGGCAAGCTCTGAATTCTAGCCGCTCCTTTTTTTCATTTGAGGAGCTGAGAGCTTAGAGAGGGAATACATTACAGATGCCATCAACCTTGGGCCGCAGCTTAAGCCATTAGAGGAAAGCAGAGGAAAGAGGGACCCTGGCTTGGACAGGGAAAAGGAGGCATCAGTGAGGGTTTCGCTGAGGTGGCAGCATTTAAGCTGGGCCTTCAAGGACTAACCCTGTGGAGAGGTGGGAGAGGAGTACGCCAGGCAGAAAATAGCAGGGGCAAAAGCAAGAAGTAGAACTTTAAGTTTTGCCCCAGGAATGCTGTACAAACCAGGCAGCCAAGATCAGAAAAGTAGGTGTAGAGTTCCAACATGCACAATAGGCCTCGAGGGCCCAGAAGGCTCATCTTTGCAAACTCCTGATAAAGGCGCTTAAACTGAAATGAATTCAGGCAGAAGGAGATGGGGTCAGTGCCAGCCAACCAGCACTTCCTCGCCTCATGGAATGCACTGCTCCCAATGCCCACCCTTCCATGAGCCCACATCTTCCCGGCTCAGTCCAGTTCCAGTCAGAGTGGGCAATGGGTGACTGCTCTGGTCTGGCTTTGCCTGTGTGACTTGCAGCACTCAACCCCTCTGGACCTCTGGTACCTCATCCAGAAAATGCAAAGAATCCTAGTTGCTTCTCTACCTCTTTTCCAAGGCTGCTGTGAAGGGGTGCAGTGGAGGAGGGTAGGAAGAAGGGAGCCATGAAAGAGCTGTGAAAGCTAGTCCTTGCCCTCACAGAGCTTAAGAACCTAGTGAGAGGAAGGATTTTAATCAAATCATTTCTATACTGGGAAGGAACGCTCTCAAAGTTGAAGAGGGACCTGAGTTTAGTGGGGAAGAGAGTCATGGAAGGCTTCTAGGAAGAAGTGGCATTTACCTTGCAACCTAAAAGGTGATTAGGTGTTAATTAGATGAAGGAAGATAAGGGCATTCTAGGCAAAGAAGAGTAGGCAAAGGCCCTGGGGCTGGAGGGAACTTGGCAAGGACGTTGAGGTGACTAAAATGTAGGAACCTCATGGGTGAGCAGGAACAGACTATGGCAGGCCTTAGTGAATACAGTAAAACACTGATCTTTATCCAAAGAACACCAGGGAGCAACAAAAAAAGAGTTTACAGCACAGGAGTGAAATGGATACATCTGTCTTTCTGGATGGTTCCCCTGACTTCGGAGTGAGGAACAGACTGGTGCAGACCAGAGAGGATGCTACTGTAAGCATCCTATTTCTTGGCTAGACAAAGAGGCCCCAGGCCTCAGGACCCCACACCTCGTATGACCCCCAAAGTGACCAGACCTCTGCTCACCTGACCAGCCTCAGCTCCCAGCATCCCCCTCAGTCAATATAGGCCTCCTGCCCCACAAAACTACTTATTCTGCCTCACACTCCCTGGAAAAATCCTGTCCCTTTCAGGACTCAGTTTAGCTCCTGTAAGGAGGGCTTCTTGCATTGCTCCTTCACCCCCACCACAGCCCTCAGCCTGCCGCATCATGCTATAGAACTTCTATTTCTGAGCCTCCCTCTCTCTGCATGACTGGGGTTCCACCAGGGTGGGGAATGAGGCGGATTCAGGCTGAGGTCTCCAGGGTCCTGTACAGGCCCAGGCCCAGGCCCAGGCCCAGGCCCAAAGTGTGTTCAACAATAAAGCTGACTTTACTTGGCAGGGTGCCTGGGCCTGACCCAGAGAAGAGGTGGCTGGTCTGACTGGGGAGATACTACCACTCCTCGCAAACTTCCAAGTCAATCGGCTCCCTCTTTCTGCTCTTTTCCCTTAGGAAAATCCGTATCTTTTGACTGTAGGGCAAGGGAGTCTAGGGGCTAAATCTATTGCTCAGCCATACTTTTACTGGATCCACACGTGAATTTTAAAAGAATTTGGCCGAAGCCGGTTTGGCTCAGTGGATAGAGCGTTGGCCTGCGGACTGAAGGGTCCCGGGTTCGATTCCGGTCAAGGGCATATACCTGGGTTGCGGGCGCGTCCCCGGTGGGAGATGTGCAGGAGGCAGCTGATCGATGTTTCTCTCTCATTGATGTTTCTGACTGTCTATCTCTCTCCCTTCTTTCCTCTCTGTAAAAAATCAATAAAATACATTAAAAAAAAAAGAATCTGAATCTCCATCATTTAAAAACCAGGATATGCTACAGAAAATATATATTCCTGGCTCCTCTTGACAAACAGAACTGACTGGCCACAGAGGTGCACATTCTTCCACCGCAATAGCCACGGCTCCCTTTGGAGAAGGCTGTCCAGTGGAGCCCACCGTACCCAGGGGCTTCACTTAGACCCCCTGCTTTTCCCAGAATCCAGTGTCATCCTCCTGTCCTCTATTGTGCTTCATCCCATAATTATCTCCCCCTGGAGGCCCGGGACTACATCCTCTTCTTCATCCTGTCCCCTCCGCTCCTGTCACAGGGCCCAGCACACAGTAGGTGAGTGAATGAACAATGGCCAAGCAGGGCCTTCCCTTTCAAACTCAAGTATTCTAACCTTTCTTCACACCCTTTAACACCTCGCATGGGCCTCCGAACCCCACCTTGCCCAACCCGTTCTACAAACGAGCCAACGGAGGCTGCACCTGGTTTCGTGTCTGGCGGAGGCAGCAGCAGCTCTCGGAGCTGGGAGTCTTTAACATCCTCAATCCAGCGCAGGTCCAGGAGCCGCAGGGCTGGCAGTGGGGCTGAGCCCAGGGCAGAGACAGAGAGCCAGGAGCAGCCAGACAGCACCAGTTCCTGCAGGCCTGGGGGAAGTTAGGAAGCTGGTGCTGGGAGGGCTCTGTGCCAGGCTCATCCCACAAGTCATTCTATCCAACCTCACCACCTTGCCATACCTTGCAGTCGGTTCAGAAGCCACATGAGTTGCTTCTTGGAGACACCTGTCCAGCTGAGGTCCAGGGCTCGGGGCTGGCGACGAACCACACCACTAAGCATGGGGGGAGTGAGTGACTTCCGCCGGCTCAGGTCCATTCGAGGCCACAGACGCTTGTCATAGCACCTGGCAGCCACAAGAGGGTAGACAGCCCTCAGCTCTCAGGGAGCCCGCAGCCCTCCCCACTCAATGGCACACCCGTTTTCTCCTGATCCACACAGAAGGTGGGAGGAGGGGGCTGCAGGAAGCTCCGGGACCCAGGCCAAGAGGACTGAGTTTGGGTCTCAAACCCATTACTAAACTAGATGCAAGTTTCGCTAAAAACTATTTTAGTTAAGAAGTTTTCAAAAGTCTTCCTCCTGGGAAACTCCAATTCTCCTTGCGCCTCAGGGGCCTAGTTTAGAAAATGAAGATAATGGTCCTTACTGGCCTGCCCCTCGGGGCTGCTGTAAGAGCAAATGAGGTCATTCTGGTTTTCCTACCTTACAGCTTTAAGACACAAACATCCTATATACTGTAGTTGCTGTAACACCAAAGGGAGCTTCAGCACTCCCAGCCCCCACCTGGGAATGCTCACCAAGTTATGTTGTTGGCTTGTGGTCACTTCTCTACCAATTTCTGCTCCTTTTTTTTTTTTTACCACCACTAACCCTGGAGTTCTTCAGTTAGATGCCACTATAGTTCATGATAAAGTATATTTTTGAAGATTTATTCTGGATCATTCCTATCCTTTAATACGATATAATGTGCTGACTTTATGAATACATTTAAAAGGATAGCCCTAACCAGTTTGGCTCAGTGGAGAGAGCGTCAGCCTGCGGACTGAAGGGTCCCAGGTTCGATTCCGGTCAAGGGCATGTACCTTGCTTGCGGGGACATCCCCAGTAGGAAATGTGCAGGAGGCAGCTGATCGATGTTTCTCTCTCATCGATGTTTCTACCTCTCTATTCCTCTCCCTTCCTCTCTGTAAAAAATCAATAAAATATATTTAAAAAAATAAAATAAAATAAAAGGATAAACAGTCCTTTCAATGCCAATTTCTGCTCTTGATCCACATCTGCCCACCCTGATGGCCAGCTGCCTCAGGCTTGACGTACAGCCCTGTTTGCTCTTTAGTTGACTATTGAGTCCCATGAACTACAATGCAGGCTCCACAAGGGCGCATCTGGCCTCTTCCCTTCGGTTCCCCCAGTACCCAGCTCTGTGCCACGGGCACGGCAGGTTATCTGTTGTCACGAATGGGGCCAAGCTTCCATGAGCACTGCTCACACACACTGCAGTTACAGCTCTTCATGTATTCACCCGGTCAATGTTTATGGAAGACCTGGCAGGTCCCAGGTATTGAAGCTACAAAGATGAATGAGGTCTGAACAAAGGTAAAGCAGGTTTCCTGATCCCAGCATTTCTGACAGCCTTGACATGCCCTGTGGGAAAGGGCTTTCCAAACTTATTTCATCAGGGAACCCTTCCCCAGCAAAGGTTATCTATTAATACTTTGCGGTACACTAAGAGTTCCTTGAGACTCCCTTTGAAAAGTCTTTTTTTCTTAAATATATTTTTATTGATTTCAGAGAGGAAGGGAGAGAGAGAGAGAAACATCAATGAAGAGAATTATTAATCGGTTGTCTCCTGCACGCCCCCTAATGGGGATCAAGCCCGTAATCCAGGCATGTGCCCTTGACCAGGATCGAACCTGGGACCCTTTAGTCTGCAGGCCAATGCTCTATCCACTGAGCCAAGCTGGCTAGGGCTGAAAACTCTTCTTAATGCAGTTCTTGAGGGCATGTCAGGAATTTCCCACTGGGTTAGATGAACTGTGTCAGAAGCAGCAGGGGTGGAGAGGGCTCAGGAGGATGTTTCTCTCCCTGTCCCCCAATTCTGAAGGGCTTTTTCTCCAACCCCAGTCATTTGCTATTCACTTATCTGCAGAACATGAATTTATCTTTAAATTGATCCCCTCTATGCACTTAAAACCAACACTGTTTCACATAAATGTGTTAACCATAGAAATAAATATAATAAACACAGACCAGAGTTATTAAATTCTAGCCAGTTGTCGATGTCGCTTTGGGCTACCACCTAAAGACTTTTTGTTAAACAGGGAGATGAGTATAAGAAAGGTATTAAAGAGGCAACAGCACACAATGGAGAGACCTCCTTTTCAAAATTAATAAAAGAATTAAGCCTTTTTGTGCTACTTAAGACTGCCAGGCATACCTCAGAGCCCCTGGGTGACATTTTAGGGAAGTCTGGAGGCCCAGACCTTACGGCTCCAATCCCAACAACTCCACCTCCCTGCCCCATCACCTCCTACCACTCCTCCCTCTTCTGGCATTCCAGCCTCTCCCGCTCCTGGTTCCATCCACTCAACCACTAACATCTGCAAATCTCTCCAATTCTAAAAAGGAAAAGAACAAAACAAAAACCCCACCCTCAACACAACTTCTGTCCTTAGGTCCTGCCCTTTCTCTCTACTCAGCAAAATCTTATTCCATCCAAACCTCTCTCTCCCCACTCTGACCCAATCCAGAGTCACAGCTCAACTGCGACCCTCACCTTGAAGCTCCTCCTGGATCTTCCATGGCTAGAAAGGAACCCCTTCCCCCTGGAGGTACACATAGGCTCCCAGTTGCTCTGTATCGTACTCCACAAGAGCCAGGCCCAACCACAGCCTACAGACACACAAGGCTGTCTGGTGCCAACACCTTTTGGCACATACGTTGTGCTGGAAATGCCAACCAATCCAGATCCTTAAAGGCTCAGCGCCAGTGCCTCCTCTTCCAGGAAGTCTCCCCTAACTTTTCTTGTCCTGGAGCTAATGGATCCCTTTGCTCTTGCATGACCAGGAAACTGGATTTGAACCTCAGAGCAGCAGCCAACAGTCACTGAGGGCCCTACTGATACTTAGTGTCCAGCCTCCACTGGGCACAAAGCAGTCAGGAAGCGGGGGAGACACAGCCAGTCCACAGAAACTGAAGCAACAAAGAACATGATAAGAGTCAGTGAGAAGGCTGAGACAGGGAGCCGCCCAGGGAGACAATGCCCGATGAGATTTGAAGGACAGCAGTCACTGCTCCAGTGAGGAGTGGGTAGGAAGCCAGTGTACATTCCAGACGGGGAAGAACTAGTACCCAGGTCCAGGATACAGAGAGAACACAGAGAGCTCCGAGAAGTCAGGCAGCATGAACAAAGGACAATTCATCATCTCCTAATAATAAGAATGATGATGATGATGACGACTATCGCACTAATAACTACTATTTATCAAGGGTTTACTATGTGCCAGGTATTGTTGTATGTATTAATAAACATTTAACCTCACAACAGCCCTAGCAGGTAAATACTATTATCTCCTTTTTAGAGTAAAGAGAAATGAGGCTCAGAGAGGTATCACAGCTACTAAATGGTAGCAGAGCCAGGGTCTGGATCGGGAGCCTGAACTCTGGTGAGTGGGGAAGAGGCAGAGGTTGAGGCTACAGAGGAGGCCTAGGGTAGGGGTGCAATGTCAAGAGGGACTAGAATGGCCCTGGCCACCAAAGAATCAAGGGTTTGGGCCCCGGTTAGGGTGCATGTGGGAGGCAGCCAATCAATGTTTTCTCTCTCTCTCTCTCCCTTTCTCCCTCCCTCCTCTTCCTCTATCTTTAAAATCAATTTAAAAAATATCTTTGGGTGAGGATATCAATAAGAAAATAAATAAACAGAATAAAAAAAACCATTTTTTTTAAAAGAAGGACCAGAATGCCAAGCTGAATTGCTGTGGCCACAGAGGTCAGAGGTGAAGGGCATGGGTACTAAATCCTAGCTCTGCCACCTCTGTGCTCTGTATGACCTTAGACAAGTCACTTGCCCTCTCTGGGCCATTCTCCAAACTATAAAAGGAATTAAATGCAACACTTAATTCAAAGGTTTGCTGCAAAGACAAAGAGAGAGAGTACAGGGGAAGTGTTTACTGCAGCCACTGGGGCACTGTTCATGTCCAATCGGACTGTGGGAGCTCATTGTGAGGGCAACAGGGAGCCATGCATGGGTGCTTTCTAAGCTGGGGAATAACATTAAGGCAAAAAGCAGAAAGAACTCCTCAGGGATAAAGCATGCCATCACCTGGGGGGTCAGGGCTTCATGTCAAGTTCTCTAAACCATTCACTTTACCCTTAACTCCAGCTACCCCGAGTCATCCCCTACTAAGCCCACCTCAAAAATCCTAAAATGCAGTCCTAAACCTCCCTCTTGCAGAGGCCCTTTTGGGACACAGAGATGGAGCAGCCCAAACGGCCACCTGTAGGGAGCTGAACAGCCTCCTGGTCTCCAGTCAAAGCCAGTTCTTCCCTCTCAGCTCTCGGTTCCCTGATGCCTCCATTGTCCTCCAATCTGTCATCTCTAAGCCTCTACTTCCAACCCCAGCTGGCCTTGACCCTGTGTTCCAGTCCCTTCCTTGCCACTCTCTCTGCCCATGTCCTCCAAAGTCCCACCCCTCTTCCCTGCAACTCAACAACTTCGACACTTCTGCCTGCCTTCTCTCCCCTCCTTTTTTAAAAATTGATTTGAGCCGAAACCGGTTTGGCTCAGTGGATGGAGCATCGGCCTGCGGACTGAAAGGTCCCAGGTTCGATTCCGGTCAAGGGCACGTACCTTGGTTGCGGGCACATCCCCAGTGGGAGATGTGCAGGAGGCAGCTGATCGATATTTCTCTCTCATCAATGTTTCTGACTATCTCTCTCCCTTCCTCTCTGTAAAAAACCAATAAAATATATTTTAAAAAAAAATTGATTTGAGAGATCAATTTATTGTTGCACTTATTTATACATCCATTGGCTGCTTCCCGTATGTGCCCTGGTCAGGGCTCGAACCCAAACCTTGGCGTATCAGGACAACTCTAACCAACTGAGCTATCCTGCCAGGGCTTCCCCTCCGTGTTGTTGTTTTTTTTAATGTCTTTTATTGATTTTTTACAGAGAGGAAGGGAGAGGGATAGAGAGTTAGAAACATCAATGAGAGAGAAACACTGATCAGCTGTCTCTTGCACACCCCCCTCTGGGGATGTGCCCGCAACCAAGGTACAAGCCCTTGACTGGAATCGAACCTGGGACCTTTCAGTCCGCAGGCTGACGCTCTATCCACTGAGCCAAACCGGTTAGGGCTTCCCCTCAGTCTTGACAGGTCACTTTCCCTCCCAGTTCAAAGAAAAGATAGAAGTCACCAGAGAGGAAAGCGTGCAACTTCCTGCTCCCCACCTATAAATTTCTCTCACCACCTCTTTTACACTCCATCCTGATTTTCTCACTGTCTTTCATTCATTCAACAAATATTTTCTTAGTACCGACTGTATGCCAGGTACCATTTTAAAACCAGGTACAGCACCAAGCCATCAAGTCCTGTCCTAGAAGCTGATGTCCTTGACCCTGTGTGACCTGGCTTCGGTCTTCCCAACCCCATGTAGCACAGCCAAGGATATCCAGGCCTCTTTGTAGCAAAACACAACCGCCACTCAGGTCCTTGATCTCCTTTTGCCAACATGCAACACCGTTCACCACTCACTCCTTCCTCCATCTCCCTCCCTTAGAGCACAGCTCCGCCCTTGATTCCCTCCAAGTCTCTGGCTGCTCTTTCTCTAACTCACAAATCCTGACATTCTGTCCTCTGCCTTCTTCCTGGAAGCTGATATCTATAGATTAAAAACTCCCAAACTTGGATCTTTCTCTTGGTAAATCACTTCACCTTCTAGTTCCAAGAGAAGACAGAAGCTACCAGACAGGATAACCTGCAACTGCCTGCTCGCCTGCTGTTTGTTCACTGCTGTGTCTCTAGTTTCTAAACTTGGATCTTTCTCTTGAGCCTCAGAATTGTACATCCAGCTGTTTCCCTGCTAGCTCCGACTGGCCCACAAACCTTCCAGACCACACATGTCAAATCTGTGTGCTTCCCTTTCCCCTACAACTTGCTTCTTCTCTTCCTTTGGTAATCCCCAACATGACGACGCACTGCTGTCCAGACAGGCGTGTGGCCCAGAAACTCACTTGAGTCACCCTGTGGCCCCACAGCCACTTAGTCACCAATCCAAGCTCTTCTGTTTTGTTTTTGTTTTAAATATATTTTGTTTTAAATATATCTTTATTGATTTCAGAAAGGAAGGGAGAGGAGAGAGAGATAGAAACATCAATGATGAGAGAGAATCACTGATTGGCTGCCTCCTGCCAGTCCCCTACTGGGGATCGAACCTGCAATACCCTTGGCCGGAATCGAACCTGGGACCCTTCAGTTCGCAGGCCCACGCTCTATCCAGTGAACCAAACCAGCCAGGGCTCTTCTGCTTCTTAAAAAAGTTCTCAACTGCCCTAACCGGTTTGGTTCAGTGGATGGAGCGTCCCTTCCTCTCTATAAAAAATCAATAAAAAAATATATTTAAAAAAAAAAGTTCTCAACCTGAGTCACTTCTCTCCATTCCCTGCCCCTGCTTCTGCCCACAGGCCTTACAGAGCCTTCTGAGTGTTCCCATTGTGCCCCATGGGTCCCTCCTCTGCCCTACCCTCTGCCTCTTATGGAAAATCACCATTTTATTGAGTATTTAGTACCCTCCAGGAACGATGCTAAGTACTTTGCAAGAACCATCTCATTTAATCCCTACAAAGTATTAATTGGAACTCCAGATAGTGGATGAGAAAACTGAAACCTTGATAGGTAGAACTGTCCAACCACGGCCATACATCCAGGAAGTGCCGGAGTCACAGCTGATGAAACACATAAGGACCAAACTCCAGGGCCCAAGCTGGAAACCACTGTGAGTCCAGCCTCTCTCTACCTCTGCTCACACGTACCTCCTTGAGGCCGAAATCAAGCCCCCTTCAGTTCTGAATCCCTTGTACCAAGCACAGAGCTGGCCCTGATGAAGAGGCCTCAGCCAACACTTCCTCAACTATCACATGAGGCCGGGGGGTCATCTCCAGCGACCGCTCTCACTGCTTGCTTCATGTTGCAGGCTGACGGAGCTGTGTTCTGAGGATGTGAAAGTCTGTGCTTTCAGTGATTACTTGTAGCTGAGTGAATAGTAACGATTATGGTTAAGGCATCAAGTGGTTTCTTTTTCCCAGGTACTGCCCTCAGCTACAACACCATGAGGTATACAGACAATGCAGTATAGAACCTTACTAATCAATGTCACACAGTAAGTTAAATTAAAAACACCACACCAACAATTCTGACCTAAACGTTCTGGTCCTGGGTTAACAGGTGAAGAAGAGGCAGCCAGAAGCAGCTAAGAAATTGGCCCAACGGCAGACGCCCCTGAGAGGAAGTCAGGCTGAACCACAGGCACTGACCTCCAGACGCCGGCAGGCATGAACTGGCACCCAGAATCCACAGGAAAGCATCAGCGCTTGAGCTCAGCCACTACCTTGCACTGTGACTTCAGGAGTCCCTCCTTCCCTCCCAGGCTGCTATCATGAGGAAAATCAGTCAACATTTGCAAAGTGGCCAACAGGGTGTCTAATCCACAGTAAGTGCTTGAGAGAGAGCCTGGGTTTTCTCACGTAATAAAATATTTCTTGAGCATCTATACTGCCCTTTGTCTCGTGCTGGGAACATGAAGATAAAACAGACACAGTATCTGCGCCACCCCAGAAACTGATAAAACATGAAAATGAACAAATGAAGGCTCATCCCCTCCATGAGCTGTGAGGGGAACAGAGTGTTCCGAGAGTTTGACTGGGGGAGGAAGGCCAGGGGTTTGGAAGCTGAGGGAGATTTCTGAGTAAACAAGGTTCAGGAAGCGGTGGGGAGATGGAGGAGGACAGGCAGAGGAGCTGGCGGTGGCTCTGGGGCATGAAGGGGTGACTCGGGGTCAGGAGGCCCAAGAATGGCTGCCTGTGAGAGGGCAGCGGCCGGCGCAGCCAGGAGTGTTCTCATGTGTAAGTGAAGCAGGTACGATTGTCCTCGGGAGAGGAAGTGTGAAAAGCAGATGAGAAGATGCCTATCCAGCAGTCAGCACTGTGCTTGGCACATACTAAACACTCAGAAATGATATTGTTAAGAGGAAAGATTCGGGAACCCAGCAGAGAGGGGCTGGGCTCAAATTCCTGGTTCTATTGCTTCCTGTCCACATGATCTTGACCTCAGCTTCATCTGTAAAGGGAGTAATAGTACCTACCTCACAAAGTCGTTATGAGGATTAAATGAGCTCAGAAATAGAAAGCAGCCCATGCACAGTAAATGCAGAAGTATCGTGCTGTCGTGTGCAGACACTACAGAAGTAGCAGTGACCAGGGAGGAAGGATAAGGAACAGGTGACAAGTCACCCAGAAAGTGAGGAGGGTGTCAGCAATAGGACCTCGGCCTGTGCGGACCACTCACCAGCGGCTCCAAGTCCGGCAGACTCGCATGCAAACGCACAGCTCCCGGGGCCCCAGGTGCTGGAAGACACGAAGCCAGGCAGCACGGGGCAGAGGGTGGTCGGATCCAGCAGCCAAAGGCAGTGTGTCGGGCTCAGGACTTCGAGGTGGGGGCCGTACCACGTGACGCTCCAGCTGTGGGGGCCGGGGTGGTGGGGCAGGGCCCAAAGGCCAACTGAGGAGGGGCCCCCCACTGCCAGGGCGGACGGCCCGTCGCCCCCCGCGGTTCTCCTTCTCGCCTGAGCTGCCCCTGGCTGGCCGTCGCCCGTTTCGGGCCTCGCCAGGGGCCTCATCCTCACTCAGGGATGTGCCTGATGAGTCGGAGTCTGAGTCTGAGTCCGAGGAGGACGAGGAGGTGTCAGGCACCCGCTCTAGCAGCTGGCACATCCGCTTGAAACGCTCTAACTTCTCCCTCTGTGGCGACGGCGACGGCACCGCTGGGCCCTCGGCAGAGGCCAAAGGTGGCTTTGGTTTCTGCAGAAAGATGGGAGACGGCTCTAGGGTCCGGCACACACTCCCCCACCCCCCTGCCCTCGAGGAGCCACCAGGGGATGAACAGTCCAAGGGATAGTCCTGATCCAGCCCTGGCTCTGAGCGGCGTGAGGCCTTAGCCAAGCCAGGCCTGAACCTCACATTCCTTATGTCACATGAAGGCGCCGATTCAAACAATTAAACACCTTATGGGTTCCAGTAGCTCATGAATTTCCACAAGCAGCGCGCTATGAAAACACAGTCCAGATCTGAGTATTGGCTTGGCCACCAACTCGGTGTGACCTTGGGAAGCCCCTGTCTCACCGTCTACAACATGGGACGTTGGACTAGACGATTCCAAGCATCCAGTCAGGGATGTGAGAATAACAATGATCACCTGGCCCCAGGCAGCGCATCCCCCTCGCTGACCCGGCTCATCCTCACAGTGCTTAAAAGGAGTGGCAGCCTGGGTCACTCTTTTTAGACATGAGGCAAACAGGCTCAGAGAGATTAAGCGCCAACGTGACAAATGGCAGAGGCAGAATTTGAATGCAATCAGGCAGGTTTAGTGTGTCCATGCAAAGTGACATCTGATTCCGAGCTTTGCTGTATGACCTTAGACCAGTCTTTCAACCTCGCTGGACCTCATTTTCCTCGAATCTAGGTAAGTTTTATAATTTACAAAGTCCATTTACTTTCAGTAGATTTAAATAGTGCGATAGGCAGATAAGGAAGGTAGATTTCCCAAATGAGAAAACTGAGGCTCAGAGCAGCTGACAAATTGCCAAGACCACACAGGAGTCAGCAGGCGGAGATTTGGACTCAGTTCTTTCCCCTTTAAGGTTTAGAAAGATGGTGCAAAACGGTCAGATAATGCCCTGAGGGTTCTTGGAAAGTCAGGGGCTCCTGTGGCCCTGGCCCCAACCCACTCTCCCCCTCCACTCTTCCAGGGTCCAGATGCCCATCGTGGCCAAGTGGGGCAGGGGTAGGACAAGGTGAGCAGGAAAGCACAGATCTATCTCCAGGGTAGAGGGTGGGGCAAGGAAAGACGGGAGAGGGAGGGAGGAGGTCCCCGGCACACCTCCCAGTGTTCGGGAGGGAGCCCAGGGTGGCAGGACGAGAAAGCTTGGCTTGGATTCAGAACCCTGGGGGGCAGAAGGCCTGGGCCGCCTGGGTCCGATCCTCGGAGGAGGCAGGCGTCTCCACCCACCTTCTTCAGGTGCCTCTCACGGCCTCC